GGTACAAAACAGACTCTAAACATGTCCGGAAGTAATTCAGACAGCGACAATCTTTCCATTCAATATTCAATGAAGAAACAATCCCTAGGCCTTATTTGTTCGAGCCAGACGCCAGTGATAGTGAAAACGATTATCAGCGTCGGTCATCACGGTTACAGGAAGAAGGTCGACTGCAGGGGCGGATACAGCATTTTGAGAAAAAAGGGGTGTGTGCACGCTATTGAGAATAGGAGGGGTGCCCACTTCATTTTCACCCGAGTTTCAATGTTCATTTAATAAACTTTCAGGACAAAAATAAAGGGGGGTGCACCCCTGACCACCCCACCCCTCTGGATCCGCCTAAGGACTAGTATCTACATAGTGGTGAGTGGACGTTAACCACGTGAATGTAGCAAGAAATGTATCCACAATATTTTCACTTGGACCCCCACCTCGCTTCAGTGGAAGAAATCGTTGTTACAAGTTGTGTCATGCAAAATCCTTTTGGTCATGATTCAAATACATATTTAACTACGAGTTGGATTTTCTGACTTGATGAAAACAAACCATAATCTCATTTATTTTCGAACAAACTTTTGCCCGTGACGTACGATTTTTAAAAATGGCGGCGTCCTGTCGCGAACATCCGACAGTCTGAGAATAAATGCTATTTAAGTTTGTTTTCACCGAGTTACAAAATCAAAACTACTTTGTACTGGTAGTAAAATATGTATTTGATTGATGGTCAATAGGATTTTGCATGACAAAGTTTATAACATAACAATTTCTCTCTTTGAAGCGAGGTGGGTGTCAATATAATACTACTTACTTCGGCCACAACCTCGCTTCCGAGGAAGAAATCGTTATATTACAAGTTGTGTCATGGAAAATCCTTTTGGTGATCAACCATATACATATTTTACTACAAATGGTAAGTAGTTTTGATTTTTTATACTCGATGAAAACGTCGAGAAATCAGCAAAATGACGAGCTTATTACACACTTTATATACAACTGACTGAAAATCCTTCGCTGCTGTGCTCTGGCGACAGAGTTACCTAACCTCTCTGTGGTTTTGTTGGCGGGCGAGAGTGAAGCAGACGGCTTTTTGGCAACTTTTAATCGCGCGGTATTAATTAACCACAAGTTTTTTAAGAATGAATTTGGTGTTCCGCTGAAGCCTAACCACAAGTCTTTCATATATACTGGTTAAAAGTGTACAAAAAAACAAAGTTTATTCGTTCTTTAAAGGAAGACATACTCTATTGATTTTTCTATGATCGCAGTTAGATGAAAAAAGTAAAGAATTCGGTCATTGTTATATAAATCCGGACTTACAGACGCAGTCCTATTGTCAATTACTTGATGTAATATGGTTACCAAAGTCGAAAAGTCAATAGCCAATGATAATATCAGCTACGTAGAATAAAAACCAAGATTATAATACCTCCAATGTATCATCTGCGATTGATTCTCTTTAGACTGGGACAATAAACGCTTCCATTACATTCTCTGAACGAAACAGAAAATATTTCCTCTGAGTATGAATCGAAATAATAATCTGACACAGTGTGGATGTTCAACACATCGTATCCACCTGGTGTCCAGCACCATATATCTGCAAGTGATGGTTCGCTTGATAAACATTGTGAAAAACAATACCAGGTCTGAACGTTCATCAATTTACATCGAAACAATATATCCTGGCATCCCATCCTATCTAAACCTAGATTTGTTGTTCAGTGGGCTGCTGGAGTGGTCAAGGAATCACAAATAAATATAATGGTACTGGCATACCTATATAATCTGTATGCAGACAGGCTTCACGTCCTACTCAGGGCGTGTCACTTGACTGAGGGCAGATTTGCTGATAGCATAATTCTCAACTTGCGGATAGATCTACTGAACGGTCCTATTAAGCACACTAGGAAGTCATACATTTGCACAACAGAAGAGTACTCTCCATGTTTGGTAGTTTTCAAGACTATCTCCCTGCACCGCATCCTTTCATCTTTCACTTTTGAGTTAACGGGGGATGTAATGACGTAGGATGTATTCCAACAGGGTTACAGTACCACTCACACATGCTCTCAACGCCCATTATATAGATACTTCTGTTCAATGAAGACAATGTCCGCAACAGCTCTTTGTCTGATCTCGGTGACATTGTGTTCAAGTCAAGACATGATTTGTGACACAGCAAGCCCCAACAGCCACCGCCTCCATAACACCCTACTGGGATCAGACCAAGTGGAGCATCACCCAAGAAGGACTTACGCTTCCAGTCACTGTTCAAAAACACAGCATTGGAAACAAACGAACTGGGAATGCATGTAATTATTAGCGACTCATAACTACATGCAAATCAAGGACGTTGCCATCCAAACACTGCATTATATTGGCATGGAGCGAAAACCAACCAAGTGGGAAAGCAAGAACAGCTCCTTTACAGAGAAATTCAAGATCCCTGCATTGGACTGATCAGACAACTTGTACTTCCCACCATCCTGAAAGAGAAGGTCTTACATAGTATACATTACCAGGCAGGGCATCAAGGTACTGAGAGTGCGTTCAGTCTTAAATGACCTCCGAGTCCTCTGATGACAAGATGTTTCTGTTAGAATACCCAGGCAATGCAGACACTCAAGCACCTGTCTCACCTCCACCTAAGGTGAAAGAACCAATGAGGAGGTGTGCCAGGGCTAATAAGGGAAAGCACTCCAACCTTCACAATACCAAAATCTGTTAACACAAAAAAATCAGGTGATCCCCCTACTGGTCCTGTCTCTGATAATCTTAGTAGCACAGAGAGTACCTGAGTGCGAGACTCATGAAAGTTGCAATACAAGAGGTAAGTAATGTATTAAAGCAGACAGGCAAGTAGTAGTTGTGTATATGTATAGTGTATAACATAGCTGATCATTTCAGTCACCAAAGATTTGTTTTGAATGTATACTACCCATCAAAAGTTTAGACTCACTGAAAGCACTCACTATATGTTATGTATATGTATGTGGTTACATCGAAGATGAATTTCTCCACCAACTTGGGGGGAACCAACTGAAAACCTTATGCAGATGAATTGCACAAGGATGATGCTTCAAATTGCGAAAGGCATGAGCAAATGTCGTGCATGTGAACAGATTCGTTTTGGTGTAAAGTTTTGTTAAGAATTCGCCAATTTTCACAGATTTTAATCATTTACTGAACTCATGACAATAATCTTTTCAATGTTACGAATATGTTTTACAATACACCAGTTCATAACTAAACAGTACCTTTAAACAGTATGGAATATTTTGCAAAAAGCTAGTTTAGAACAGTGGACAAGTAAGTGGCTACATTTGCACTAGTGAGTCTAAACTTTTGATGGGTAGTATAGTTTCACTAATACTAGGTCGTAGTTAGGTCATGGGATCTATTTCATTCTGTTCAAGGAGAGCAGAGTAAATGGTTATTGTGAATATAAAATAAAATGCACAGTGTATTATATATTGTAGGGTAGAGTAGATATTTGTAGTACAAGCAACTATTCCAGTATCATATACAAAAATCTAAATTTAGATATGTGGTTATTTTCGAGGACGTAAACTTACAACATGGGAGAATGTCACAGGATGTTAAAGGGTTTAAGGTATATCTTTTCTTTAGGAGGAGATTCTTTTAAGACCCATGGGCTAGTGTTTGGGGGAGGAGAGAGAGAGAGACAGAGAGAAAGAGTTTGCTAACAAGCCTCCTTCTACACTCATGACTTCAAATGTGTAAGTATCAAAATCAGTATGAGATTGAAAATGTTTCGCTATAACATTCGTTCCTGTTTGGTACCCCAAGCACTGTAGCCTACCCTAAAAAACCCATTATCTATCACTCATTTTTCTCAAAAAGCTGTATCCGCCCCTGCTAGTGTCTGACAATTGGGATGTCTAACTACTGGGAGTGAATCCCTTGCAACAGTGTAACTTTTGTAGCAGACAATTTCCATTAGCCCTCGTCTGAAGTAATAATCACTTTTTAAAACGTATTCTGGAACAATCAATTTGGGCTTTTTTTTTTTATAAAACTTAATCCCAGACTCCCTGCAGTCATGCACCCGTTACACACAAAGGGAAACTGCAATCACATTTAAAACAAACATTCTAAGGGATTGGTAGTTAATTATAGGGTTAGGTGTGCTGGTTGGAACTGTATCACATTTTGCTGACAAATAAAATTGCTGATAAATTATATCGTCTAATTTAAAAATTGTGTTGATATCAAGTGGTGAGTCCGTTTCGCTTGATTCTTTTCTTCATCTTCACTGGAAGTTTCTCGTGCCAGATGTAAAATCGGGTCATATTGATAGGGTCTAACATCCATGTGAAAAATGATATTTTCCAGTCCGGTAGAGTGAGTGAATCTAGTTTTACGCAGCTTTTAGCAATATTCCAACGATATCACGGCGGGAGACACCAGAAATGGGCTTCATACGTTGTACCCATATTGGGAATCAAACCCGAGTCTTCGGCGTGACAAGCGAACGCTTTGAATAACCGCAAGGCTACCCCCCGGTAGACACGTACAGTTGTGGTCAGAGTTTGAAGAAGCTCGCTTTGTATCAAATGTCGTAATGTAATGTGTAACCCCACCACCACCTAAATACCGGAAGGATATGTGTTGTATCTATCAAACCAAAAGTAATCGCATGGAAAATATCACTCAGAGACTTGAATCAACCATTTCCATACCATCCCAAGTTATGTCCCCTGTGTAGAAGAATGCGAGTGTACTAGTTTGTACCAGTTGGCACGTGCACAAAGTCGTGCAGTCAGATAAGTTACGGGTTGGAACAAAGGTTGTGTTTAAATTAAACGTGTTTGTCAATATATAAATAGCAGTTGGGGACATTAGAATAAATTGGAAGGCTACAGCCACAAACTGCAAAGTCTGATAAAGAAGAGGGTAACATAACCTTATTCAGGTCAAAACGGGTCGAAACCCATGTATCTAAAAATAACCCACGTAAAACCTTCCGCCATGTTTAGGAGGCTGGGACACGGATATGACGTGAATTTGGCTCTCTACAAGACATGATCATTGTGTAGATTGAAATTGTCCAACATTTTGCCAGCGAACACAATCGCCAAATGTAAGTGTTTCATTTCCATACAGACTAATCGAGGGCCGATCTTCACCGGCTGCAACGAGCCGGGGTGGACTACCTGTGCCGTCTCGAGCGGTGGATTCTGTCTGGATATCACGCATGACATCCATTTGACAGTTTATTTTACTTCTTCTCTGATCTCGTTATTGATCGTTGAATCGTTGAAAAGATACACACAGTAATATGCGTAGTTTCCATGACAGGTTTGAGATTATCTTCCAGATAAATCAAGGCTTGTCACTGATGTAGGTCATGACCGTGACCTGTGTCACGTGCTCAGCCTCAGACCAAACCATAAATTATGAACAGTCTCAATGGAGGAATAGTACTTGCTCTAGCCACATTTTACTGTTATATGGCCTCTCAGCTCTGATCTGACCAAACACGAGGATTTCAGGGGAACACCAATAATTAAGAATGATTACAAACAACTTCTTTTATTGTTACGGCTGTTTCGACTTAGATTCATAATGTCGTCAAGGGAGTAAGTGACAATGGTGACAATTTTTATGGATATACAACTTCTTTTATTGTGAAAGGCGAAGTTGCGACATAGATTCGACAACGACATTAGAATTTATGTCGAAATGTCGCCGTTAACGATGACAGAGGTCATGGTCAGTGATTGAAATGACTGATGGCCATTACTATTCTTGATATGCTGTAGGTATTATTCAGGATCAGTCAATAACTGCTCTTGGAGCACCTTTAGAATACAGCACCACAACTTCTCGTGAGGACGATCTCTGCCATAGGTCACGTGTCATTAAGACAAGCAACCAGTTTGTGAGAACCCGTCGGACGCGAACCCGCGACCTTTGGATTGTTAGCTCGACAGCTAACCGACTGAGCTACGTCCACACTGTTGCACAATGTGCAAATTTATCAAGTCATTCCTGTGACGTCACAAAAATGAACGGAAAAAGTCAAATAGGTCACGGAGAGTTACGAAGGTTACAGGTAGACTTTATGTCTCGTGATTTTAATCTACAGACAATTGCCGAATGGATCCGATGCCATTTGGCACACTCGTCCCTTTCCGTAATCTACAAGATAACGTGTGGCGTGGAATGAGCCGATATGCCTCAAACTGAAAAGGGTTGTTGACGTCAGGCGTCAGACGTAGATTTCACGGTGCATGCATGAATGACACGCTTTTATATAAATCGGTGATTTTGGGACAGAAAAGTGATGTAGGGAACACTGTAAGGATAATGTGGATCACACTAAGGAACGAGGGAGACATGAGCATGTGTAGTGACGGCACGAGGGTGCAAATTACTGAATGAAAAAAATATATATGTATGTCAGTTCACATTGGTAAATAATTTAGACTTAATAGTTACTTAGAAACCGAAATATAAAATATATTTACATAATTTAAATAATTACATTGACCAAAATTGCGAATAATCGAATATATATAATATAGACCGGTGTAACGCATTCTCGCTAAATCTAAAAACCAAAATACAATAATACACAAAACATAACACCTCAGGACCCCGTAATACAAATAAATATGAGCGTATTAGTGAAAAAAAGAAAAATATTTCAAACTGGTGCTTGCAAAAAATTGCGCATCCGCCTGTATACAACTACTGGAAACTCTCAACATCGTTGGGCTTATGCAATGACATAGCTAGTAGAGATGAAACACCAGTGAGCGGAGCTTATACGCACTCGCTGAGCTAGACAACCGTGTTGCCATGCAGGCGTCATAGGGCATTGTTTCGAGAACGTGCTTTCGAACAAAATCACATTACATTACGTAAAAGGGTATTATGACGTATTTTTAAAGTTTGAGGTGCTGTATTCTAAAGGTAGGCCCTTTTGTGCTGTAGGTATTATTCAGGATCTGTCAATAACTATTCTTGATGTGCTGTAGGTATTATTCAGGGTCTGTCAATAACTGCTCTTGATGTGCTGTAGATATTGTGATATTGAGGATCAGTCAAACTGCTCTTGATGTGCTGTAGGTGTTGTTGAGGATCGGTCAATAACTGCTGTTGATGTGTTGTAGGTATTATTCAGGATCTGTCTATAACTGCTCTTGATCTGCTGTAGGTATTATTCAGTATCAGTCAATAACTGCTCTTGATGTGCTGTAGGTATTATTCAGGATCAGTCAATAATTAAGAAATACAGTTCGCTCTACCACCATGTATAGTGTAATAAAGCACACTTTCGCCCTGAACTATTATAGTTAAAGTACGAGGACGCTTTCTAAGATGCCAAATTTAATACTTTCTAAGGATAATTACGATTAATTTAAGGCAGAAAACAAACGACGGTGTCGGTGACCTAAATTAAGAATCCTTTCACAAGGCTAACAGGCTCGCTGTTCTATTGATGTTTCTGCCCCCCTAAGTTAAGACGAACATTACCAGAAAAAAACAAATGATAACAGTTTGATGACGGTTTACGTTAGGATTAAATATCTTCTCTGAATTATTTTAATTACATCTGTCATTAACGTAAACCATATGGGGCAATATGAACGTCGCATTTCTACTACCAACTTAAGTTTAGATCAGTACATCCAGATGAAACTGAGTAGTCAAGCGACATTCCACGATTGCATTGTGGGAATGTAAACATTGCGAACGTTACTGTGTCGCTGAAAACTTGTGAGTCGAATTGACACATTTTAACCGTCGTAAAACATAAACTTAACGTTTCCACCAGGGATATTAGCTGCGTGAAGCAACTGCAAACCAAGAAATGGGAAGCAACGGAGTAGTTTACTGTAGGAGGCCGTACGAGGCGATGACAACTGACATGCATCGTGACGTCGCTTACATTGTGACGTAATGTAAATTAATTCGATTACGAGGGGGCACACTAGAATGGCGCAGTGATAGGATAACGTCATTCAATTGTTACGTCATCAAAAAACTATACCTTTATTGTCTGATAATGTTGGGTTTTTTTTATTGTTCTCACTGCAAGGCATCTTAGAACTGCTCTTGATGTGCTGTAGGTAGTGTGATATTGAGGATCAGTCAATAACTGCTCTTGATGTGATGTAGGTATTTTACAGGATCTGTCAATAACTGATCTTGATGTGCTGTAGGTATTATACAGGATCTGTCAATAACTGCTCTTGATGTGCTGTAGGTATTATTGAGGATCTGTCAATAACTGCTCTTGATGTGCTGTGTAGGTATTATTGAGGATCTGTCAATAACTGCTCTTGATGTGCTGTAGGTATTATTGAGGATCTGTCAATAACTGCTCTTGATGTGATGTAGGTATTATTGAGGATCTGTCAATAACTGCTCTTGATGTGATGTAGGTATTATTGAGCATGTGTCTGTAACTGCTCTTGATGTGATGTAGGTATTATTGAGCATGTGTCAGTAACTGCTCTTGATGTGATGTAGGTATTATTGAGCATGTGTCAGTAACTGCTCTTGATGTGCTGTAGGCATTATTGAGGATCTGTCAGTAACTGCTCTTGATGTGATGTAGGTATTATTGAGCATGTGTCAGTAACTGCTCTTGATGTGATGTAGGTATTATTGAGCATGTGTCAGTAACTGCTCTTGATGTGATGTAGGTATTATTGAGGATCTGTCAATAACTGCTCTTGATGTGATGTAGGTATTATTGAGCATGTGTCAGTAACTGCTCTTGATGTGATGTAGGTATTATTGAGCATGTGTCAGTAACTGCTCTTGATGTGCTGTAGGCATTATTGAGCATGTGTCAGTAACTGCTCTTGATGTGATGTAGGTATTATACAGGATCTGTCAATAACTGATCTTGATGTGCTGTAGGTATTATTGAGGATCTGTCAATAACTGCTCTTGATGTGCTGTAGGTATTATTGAGGATCTGTCAATAGTTGCTCTTGATGTGCTGTAGGTATTATTGAGGATCTGTCAATAACTGCTCTTGATGTGCTGTAGGTATTATTGAGCATCTGTCAATAACTGCTCTTGATGTGATGTAGGTATTATACAGGATCTGTCAATAACTGATCTTGATGTGCTGTAGGTATTATTGAGCATGTGTCAGTAACTGCTCTTGATGTGATGTAGGTATTATTGAGCATGTGTCAGTAACTGCTCTTGATGTGATGTAGGTATTATTGAGCATCTGTCAATAACTGCTCTTGATGTGATGTAGGTATTATCGAGGATCAGTCAATAACTGCTCTTGATGTGATGTAGGTATTATTGAGCATGTGTCAGTAACTGCTCTTGATGTGCTGTAGGTATTTTTGAGCATCTGTCAATATCTGCTCTTGATGTGCTGTAGGTATTATTGAGTATCAGTGAATAACTGCTCTTGATGTGCTGTAGGTATTATTGAGCATCTGTCAATAAGTGCTCTTGATGTGCTGTAGGTATTATTGAGGATCTGTCAATAGTTGCTCTTGATGTGCTGTAGGTATTATTGAGGATCTGTCAATAACTGCTGTTGATGTGATGTAAGTATAAGATATCCACTGTGCAGTATGTACTGTTTTCAGTAGGAACTGTCCGTGTTTTTATGATTTTACTCAAGTGAGCAGTGTATGTTGTGGCTCCTCTGTCATCCATCTGTCAGTAACGTTTGCATTTAAAACTACTCAGAAAATACAAGCCAATGGAACTGCAACATTGTATAAAGGATGCTACTTCACTTACAGTCTTGCCCAAAGTTCACACAGACTTCCAAACCTTCTCGAACCTGCTCAGTTGTGAATTAGAACAAAAACAATTGGAGTAGGAAAACACCTGAGGATGACAGTGTCTGTTGTGATTTGGAATACGGTAGTTTGGTGCCATTTTCATCACCTTGACTGACATCCACTGTCTGGAGAGCATTGTGTGTTGCGGTGTGATTTATGTATCTTGCTGATAAGGATATTATCTGGGCAGTTTGTAGACATCATGCTGTGATATGGCATGGATTGTGCAGTGTTGGGTCACCCATGGAAGATTAAGAGCCATGACAAGCACAAAATTACCCTCCTTGTCTGCTGTTGAATTTGTACCCCTGTATAACATTGTATGATTTATGAGAATATTAACAGAGGCCCAGATAAGCGGCATATCCGGGTAAAATACGCATAGAAAATCTCCAATTATGCATTGAAAAATAATTGTAGCGTACCAATTACGCATTAAAAATGTTAGATACGCATAAAGTTTGAAACAAATGCGTACGAACTATATTTATAAAAATCGCTCGCGTAATGAAAAAGACATCGATTGCTATCAAGTTGTACTGTTAGTATTGGACAAGTGTTGTACTGTCAGTATAGGATGAGTGATTTTTTATGAAATCATTTCCATTATATTTAAGTTGGTTTTGATTAGGTATGACATGACATAAGGCAGAACAGTAAAATGACTGAAATACGCACATATTTGAAAGCAGTGGGTAACGGAAAATGAAATACCCACTCAACATTCATAGTACCCACTCAAACAAAATACAGTGGGTACAGTACCCACATGAGCTAAATCTTATCTGGAACTCTGTATTAACATGATTAATATTACTGTGTCTGAAGAGTGCCTCTATACACATTCCTTACGACAGTGTGTATCTTAATTCATACTTCAAGCATATTCTTTTACCATCATAATGATCATGTGGATTGATAAGACATAATGAGAATTACCTCCATTAGACTGACATACAGGTTTGAACTCTGTCAATGTTATTTTCTAACAATCACTTGATATATATCCATAATTATTCTTTAGAGATAGTAATGTCATGAAAGTGTGTTATTCTTACATACAGTGTTGAATTTGGTTGTTGAATTCCAGTGTTGCATGCAATTTTAGACTGAACAAATTTCATCATTTAATGGACTTTCATTGGATGTTGGAAATACATGGTGTTTGAAGCATATGCAACAGTAATATGTGAAACTCTGGGAATTAATGAGCAAATATAGATGAACCTAAATGTTTCCATGGCTACCTGACAGACATAGTGTCACTTGAAACTCTTGGAATTGGTGTCCCATTCTGCTACAGGAGTTACCTTAGCTAAACACTTGATAAAGCTGAAGGGTTGACACAGTTACTATAGGTTTGTCAGGGATTTACCTTGAGTCCTGTATTTGAGGGTCCCTGGGACTCAAGCATATAATTTTTAGGGTCCTGGACAACAAAATGGGGGTCCCAGACACTTAAATATTATTATTATTAATGCTGTTATTGTATTGTGTATCATGATCAACACATTAATTGTTACAGTAATTAAATTACAAATGATACCATAACCCAGCTAGTAGCAAACTCAGTGATAACTTATTGTTACTTGATTGGAATTTTTACAAAAGTATTTGGACTTTTCTGCGTCCCTGTGGATGCGCTTATATATATTACGTTGCGTCCATTGTCAATTTTCATACTTATAGGACGCAGGAATTCGCGTCCTGTAAATCCCTGGTTTGTAACCCAGGTTCGTTTCTATATTTAGAAATGTACCATAAAGGAAGTCAAAATGCAGAAATGTCCCCGGTACCATAAACAGGGCAAGAGTCCGTATTCCGCAACTAAAACACGAAACTATATATGTAGTTATTCCCATCTAGTTATCGTGAGTGGTCTTGTGCATCATGAAATACTCAATACTGTGTCAGCTCGTTTCTCATATACCGCGAGCAAATGCAGCTAATTCCACTGTATGGCAGTTCTGATGAAGAAAGTAGCACAATGCAGCTAATTCCACTGTATGGCAGTTCTGATGAAGAGAGTAGCACAATGCAGCTAATTCCACTGTATGGCAGTTCTGATGAAGAAAGTAGCACAATGCAGTATGGACACATGCTAGAGTGCGTTTCTGTATTCTCATTTTGCTAAAGGTACATTTAGGCACCAAAAATAATATGTGTGTTTAGGGTAACATGAAATTATATAACAGGGTCGGTAGGGAGGGTTTATCTTTTTCTTACATTTTTTTTTTTAAATGCACTCGCATATTTTTCATAAAATCACATATTTATGTAATCAGGCACCTTTTTGAAAGAACAGAAGGGAAACCAGTTTAAAATTTTAATAACTGAAGCATCAACACTTTCTAAATTCACCTTTTATGAAAAACAGGAGTAAGTGAGCACAGGTCACATATGGTCGCCCCCAACATTGGGGAGTACATACTGTTGGAATAGCAACATGTTTCGCTGTCTTTTAAAAAAACGAACAAAAATGGTTTAGGGTCGGGAAGTTTGTGATTGGGTCGCTCGGTCGGTAAACCGTAAACACACATATTTATTTTTGGGGGCCTTATGTAGCCTGCCTAATGATACACGTTTCCATCAAACCTAGCTAGCCTACTGTGGTGACAGTAGAGTGTCCCCCAGTTGTTTTACATTGTCTGTACCTGGCTTTAATGTGTCCTGTGTAAGCTGGCTCTAATTTGCTCTTGTTTCCTAGGCTCACTGTCGTCATGCTGTTGACTCCACACCATGTGTGAATCGCCATCTGCTGGCACAAAACGACCACTACCAGACAGTGTCACGGACCACAAGCACAGTAAACGGCAACGAGGAGAAGCATCTTCAGATTCCCAGGAGTAAGACATTATTGATATCGTCATGGCGTAGTGATTTCTGCCCCGTAAATTGTGGTGACTATTTTTAAACATTTAGGACATAATCAGAGCTCCAGATAAGATTTAGCTCATGTGGGTACTGTACCCACTGTATTTTTTTGGAGTGGGTATTGTGAATGTTGAGTGGGTATTTCATTTTCCGTTACCCACTGCTTTCAAATATGTGCGTATTTCAGTCATTTTACTCACCTAAGTATTATGTCATTGAGTAAGTTTACTAAGCAGGTATGTCCTGCCTTATATCATACCTAATCAAAACCAACTTAAATATAATGGAAATGATTTCATAAAAAAATCTCTCATCCAATACTGACAGTACAACACTAGTCCTATACTATCAGTACAAGTCGATGTCTTTTTTATTACGCAAGCGATTTTTATAAATATATTCCGTACGCATTTGTTATAAACGTTTTGCGTATTTAACATTTTAAATGCGTAATTGGTACGCAACAATTATTTTTCTATGTGTATTTTACCCGGATACGCAGCTTATCTGGGCCTTTGATAATGATGTGGACAAGAATTCCACTGACTATGCATCCACGACCCCTTGAACAAATCCCCAAGCAGTGTCAATATTATGAATTAAAAAATATATTATGATGATCAGGATAATGTATGTGTACGCAGCTAATAAGTGTATTCAGTCATGGAATATTCACTAATGTACTGGACCCGATTGTCTCAAACTTTCAATGATGCCAGCTTTATATTATGGCCCATTACCATGTCCACACATTGGTCCAAAATGATTTCTGCATTGAAACACATGAAGAACATGGTACACGTAGGTTGATGTCGTGTGTTATCAGCATGGTAAGTGATGCAGCTCTCCTGTGGAGAAAACACCTACTTCTCACTGCACTTGCCAAATGACAGGATGGGGAACGTGCTACTAAGTGATAGGGGTGGGCGATAATACCGGTTAACCGGTATATTGCAATTCACAATACGATATATTGTGGTGATCGTCAAGTTTCATGACCATGATCGGTAATTCGCGTGATGTAGTCAAAAATAACTTTTGTATTTTCTTGATATTATTATACATTAATAGTTTTGAGAATGTTTATTGGTCATATAATTGCATTTGCGTGACTTTTAAACCGTATAAATAAATAAAAATAGATTGGTACCGGCACTCATTTTAGGGATAAACCAACCAATATGGCGGACACCGCTGCAGACAGTTTTTCTCGACTTTTCTCTGAATTATTTTAATTACATCTGTCATTAACGTAAACCATATGGGGCAATATGAACGTCGCATTTCTACTACCAACGTAAGTTTAGATCAGTACATCCAGATGAAGCTGAGTAGTCAAGGGACATTCCACGATTGCATTGTGGGAATGTAAACATTGCGAACGTTACTGTGTCGCTGAAAACTTGTGAGTCGAATTGACACATTTTAACCATCATAAAACATAAACGTAATGTTTCCACCAGTGATGTTAGCTGCGTGAAGCAACTGCAAAACAAGAAATGGGATGCAACGGAGTAGTTTACTGTAGGAGGCGGTACGAGGCGATGACAACTGACATGCATCGTGACGTCACTTACATTGTGACGTAATGTAAATTAATTCGATTATGAGGGGGCACACTAGAATGGCGCAGTGATGGGATAACGTCATTCAATTGTTACGTCATCAAAAAACTATACCTTTATTGTCTGATAATGTTTTGTTTTTTTATTGTTCTAACCGCTAGGCATCTTAGAATGCAATACATATTGCAATACGCCAACACATATCCACATATCCAACCCTACTAACTGAAATATAATACCCAACCCTACTAACTGAAACACTACTGTAGGAAAATGTGGACAATACCCAACCCTACTAACTGAGACACTACTGTAGGAAAATGTGGACAATACCCAACCCTACTAACTGAAACACTACTGTAGGAAAATGTGGACAATACCCAACCCTACTAACTGAAACACTACTGTAGGAAAATGTGGACAATACCCAACCCTACTAACTGAAACACTACTGTAGGAAAATGTGGACAATACCCAACCCTACTAACTGAAACACTACTGTAGGAAAATGTGGACAATACCCAACCCTACTAACTGAGACACTACTGTAGGAAAATGTGGACAATACCCAACCCTACTAACTGAGACACTACTGTAGGAAAATGTGGACAATACCCAACCCTACTAACTGAAACACTACTGTAGGAAAATGTGGACAATACCCAACCCTACTAACTGAGACACTACTGTAGGAAAATGTGGACAATACCCAAATTACTAACTGAAACACTGTCTAGGAAAATGTGGAGAATACCCAACCCTACTAACTGAAACAACCCCTACTAACTGAAACACTACTGTAGGAAAATGTGGAGAATACCCAACCCTACTAACTGAAACACTACTGTAGGAAAATGTGGACAATACCCAACCCTACTAACTGAAACACTACTGTAGGAAAATGTGGACAATACCCAAATTAAATCATGTCTGTAGTGCTGTATCTGCTCAACCATTGTTGTCGGGGCCGGTGGGTTAGCCCAGTGATTATTGCATTCGATCATCACAGTGAAGGCCCGAGTTCGATTTCCCACATGGGTACTATGTGTGGAGCCCATTTCTGTTGAAATTGCTGGAATCTTGCTAAAAGCGGCATAAAACCATACTCACTCACTCATGCACTCACTCTCACTCTCACTCTCACTCACTCACTCACACATTGTTGTCTTAGGCCAAACCAAAAAAATGTGGTTCCGATTACACGTCTTTAAAATTTAGGGTAGGTAGGTAGGAATTCTATTTTTTTCACTTTTTGTTTTTAGAAGTAAAGTACGAACAAATAACACATTTATCAATGTGTAATTGTTTATTCAATCAAGCTTGTGGCCATCCTTTTGACTTTCTCTATCAGAATGACCAATGTCTGTTGCTGCCAGGAAAAAACAATGGTATCTGAAAGCTTATTTTATTCATACCTCTTAAAAAAACAAGGGTCGGCACCAAAATTCAAGGGTCGGTCGGGTAATCAGAACCACAGCCTATTTTATTTTTAGGCCTTATGTCATGTTTTGCTCACACACGAAGAAGGGATTGAGAATTTTCCTGAACCCCTGTTGTTGTCTTGGACATGACCCGATTACTGTGTAATCTTCCTGCACTGTTTTCACTGGCTCTGTGAAGTTTTGTGTAGTTCTCATTTATTGTCACTATGTTAACCTAGAGTTGAAGATATTCAGTCCCTGCCATCTACATTTATCAGACATGCACCTTTCCTGTTGTATATTTATAGATGTACATATTGTTTAAGGAACATAGAGCCTCTTTGGTAATCAAATAACTTTCCTTGTCAAATTCCACGATCCTGCATTAAAGACTTCCATCAGACATGCCAACCTCTACCATTTTATCGTAGTCGCTACGAATTTAAGCCTCAAACTATGCCAATACGATTGCACTAGAAATTCTATGAAATTTGACGAAAATTCATTAAAATTCGGATCTATAGACAAAAACATATATTTTTGTCGATGAAATACTTTTTGCCAAAAAGAGACGACAAGAAGACATGTAATGCTGAAAATTTGGAAATCTGCTGTTGGAGGTATGTGAAATTAAAGCTTCACTCATGATAATTGGCATATCATCTCAGAATCCATCATGATTTTAGGTATAAATTAGTTGACTACTCATTTTATGGTCAAACTACTAATTTTGATCCCTGAAACTACTATTTCCAACACTTTGGGGTTGGCATCTCTGCTTCCATGTGTCAGTCACTTCTCTCTCTAAATCATTCTTTTTGCACCAAAAATATGTTGCTAGCAACAGATGTAAACTGCGTAACTACCTCCTTTAAAAACTAGACCTGCGTAAATCCACTTTCTTATATTTCTTAAAGAGCTAATAGCCCAGAAAGACATCCATGTACACTGGTATAGCACACAGGGCTCCAGATAACTTTTGGGGGTTTGAGTGTACTTACACATCATACTGCAAGTGGAGGTGTACTGAGAATTTTGAAGGAGTACTGACATGTTTTTGTGTGAGCGAGTTGATGTGGTTTGTCTGGACAATTCATCGATCACTATTTCCAACCATGTATTTGTTTTTGAAGACGCGTGAGAAATAACTGAGCGACCGTGTGATGCGCGAAATGTCAGGTCCGACTGGATATAAATAGGAACAGTGTAGTTTTAAGCCAATCGAAAAATAGTGACGCATATCGTTGCATGGCAACGCAAGGGATTCCTACTGTCGGGGTTTCCTTATGTGTCAAATCGTGTTTCGCAAAAGAAACTGAACAAGTATTTATCCGAAATAGATTTCCATTTGCACAAAATACACACGGAAATTAAATGTTAGACGTACGAAGGTATTTATGTGCGTACACATACGCTTGAAATCTTATATTATGTCGTACTTAATTGATTTTGAGGCGTACATTACGCATGTATGCCCCTTATTTGTAGCCCTGGCACAGTAGCTTGTTATCAATATATGAAGCTGTAATACACACTGTTTAACACCAAAGCGCACACCTATCACATACTGCTACAACTATTTTCACTAACAAATATGGAACACTCTCAATGTATTCAATGACACTGCATATAACTTCCAGTAAAATTTCACAAATTATATCATGGGTCTTTGTGACAACTGTGTAAACTTTCTGGTGCAGAATTCAAAAGGTTCATATCAATTACTATGATGTGTGAACTTTTAATGTTTTTAAAGTAGTTTTCATGTGGCTCTTCCATGCCTGCATATTACAGAACACTGAAATATTGTTTTCATAAGCTTGATCTAGTTTAAGGCAGAATAGTTTGGGTATCTAACTTTCTATTTTACGTATTTGGTAAGATTGGTATTACCCAGTTTAGTATTCTATGTTTTTTACTAAAGAATGTAAGAAATAGAATTTAGGTTTGAAACTGGTGAAAATAAATTTCAGTTGAATTGATACAATTGAAATATGTAGTGAGTTTTTGGTGGCCCTGCATGTTTAGAGACTGTATAAGAAGAGACGTGGGCTGTGAGAATGTGTTGAAAGTAGATGAATTATGAATACTCAGTGTTGGCCATGACGCAGAAAACCTGCGTATTTGACACACAAATTATCTAAAACATATGCAGTCAATTTAGAAGCTTGCATCATTGTTGACGCAATGCTACTGGGCCCTTAGTTCAGATAAACGGGGGATTACGTATTCAGCGTACGTATTACGTACATCCCGATTATCTTCAAATCTACGGTGTTCCTGAAATATCTTCATAATCATAGTTAGGAAATTTCTGGTGTTCCCCGCCGTGATGTTGCTGGAATATTGCTAAATGCGGCGTAATACCCAAGTCACTCACCCACTTGAAATATGCGCAAATGTTTGAGCTTGATTTCTCTGCCACTTTGGGCTGACACTACACATGGAGTGAGAGGGGAGATAACTCTTCTTGGAGAGTACTCGAGTAACATTTTTCTACTCAAGCTATGCTCCTACCCGCCTCATACTGAAGTACCCGGTTCCAGCCCCACTTTAAACATGAGCTTTTGTAGTAAGACAGATGGGAAATCCACTTGTTTGATAGGGAATGGTTTGTGTGATTTGAAACTTATGATAGAAACTTTTGACAGAGTATCTTTCAAATGTTTGTATGAGTTGTTAATTAAAGTTTTTTGCATCTGGCTTTCAACTGTACATTGCCATCAAGCAGTCAGTGAGCTCCTGGCTGCCTTTGTTAAATGTCCACCTTTGTTTCCCTGTCACCCTTAGTGTTTCACATGTAGATGTAGACAAATATAGCTATCTGCTTCCTTGTTTTCATTCACTTGATAAAGGAGTAAAAATAATACTCCAAAACATCATGCTCCTAATGTTACAGAAGTTGAAATCCATAAATTCCCCTACCTGTATGAGTTGCTAATGGAGGTGAGGTATCCTAACATTGTGATTGTTTGTGTTGCCAGCCCGCCTGACCCACCTGATGATGAGGTGTTCGTGGACTCGTCCTGGCTGTGTGAGTATAAGACCATTGTAGTTCTTCTATGAGATTACTTCAACACTCAGGTATTGAGTGGTTGTGATGGTTACCAAGGAGCAAAACAAAATGAGTGTCTACCTTTGATGACCAGATTCTGATGTACCAATTGACGATCTCAGTCATGCACGTCATGTCTTGGCACCCTTCCATGTTTCTTATTGCAGTCCTGTCACACCTTTTTCAATGTTCTTCTTCCAGTACTGCCCCACCCACCTCCATGTTTCTTCCTCAAATCCTTCCCCCACCCACCTTCATGTTTCTTCCTCAAATCCTGCCCCACCCACCTCCATGTTTCTTCCTCAAATCCTGCTCCACCCACCTCCATGTTTCTTCCTCAAATCCTGCCCCACCCACCTCCATGTTTCTTCCTCAAATCCTTCCCCCACCCACCTTCATGTTTCTTCCTCAAATCCTGCCCCACCCACCTCCATGTTTCTTCCTCAAATCCTGCCCCACCCACCTCCATGTTTCTTCCTCAAATCCTGCCCCACCCACCTCCATGTTTCTTCCTCAAATCCTGCTCCACCCACCTCCATGTTTCTTCCTCAAATCCTGCCCCACCCACCTCCATGTTTCTTGCTCAAATCCTGCCCCACCCACCTCCATGTTTCTTCCTCAAACCCTACTCCACCCACTTCCATGTTTCTTCCTCAAACCCTGCTCCACCCACCTCCATGTTTCTTCCTCAAATCTTGAACCACCCACCTCCATGTTTCTTCCTCAAACCCTGCTCCACCTACCTCCATGTTTCTTCCTCAAATCCTGAACCACCCAAGTCTGTCCTTTATCAGCCGCTCTAGCCCCACCTGCGTCCATCTTTCTTCAGCCATTCCTGCTCCAACCACTTTAATGTTTCTTCTCAAGTTTTTTTCTACGATTCCTTGGTTCTGTATGTTATTGTTCTGTGAGTGAACATGCTATCATTCTGTATGTGAACAGTCATGATGTCGTTCTTCTTGTTAAGCAGGCATGATGTCATTGTTCTGTATAGTAAACAGGCATGATGTCATTGCTCTGTATGTGAACAGTCATGATGACATTGGTCTGTTCGTGAACAGTCATGATGTCATTGTTCTGTTCGTGAACAGTCATGATGTCATTGTTCTGTATGTGAACAGTCATGATGGCATTGTTCTGTATGTGAACAGTCATGATGTCATTGCTCTGTATGTGAACAGTCATGATGTCATTGCTCTGTATTTGAACAGTCATCATGTCATTTTTCTGTATGTGAACAGTCATGATGTCATTGTTCTGTTCGTGCAGTCTTGATATCATTGCTCTGTATGTTAATCAGTCATAATGTCATTATCCCCCGCAATGCATTTTGCGAGGTGTATTAAAATGGACTCCGTCCCTCCGCCTGTCCGTGCAAATTCGTCTTTTCAGGAGCAAAACATTAAAAATGCTCAATATTTCTTTACCAAACTTGGCACATAGATAGGTTTGCTGGTGAACTGCTGGTGCCTTTTGGTTGTTTTGGGTTCCAGAATAAAATAATTTTTTGTGTTTTCATGGCAACAAGTTTGACTTTGGCGCTTCTTTATAATCGTTAAACTTGGCACATAGATAGATCTGGTGGTGAACTACGGGTGCCTTTTGATAGCTTTGGATTTCTGAATAAAATCATTTTTGCATTTCCAGGACAAGAAGTTTGACTTCAACTGAAATTTGTCTTGGTGTTCTTTTCCGGAGCAGAACATTAAAACCGTTCATTTTTTCTTCACGAAACTTTGCACATAAATAAGTGGTGCCTTTTGGTAGTCTTTGATTTCTGGATAAAATGATTTTTGCATTTCCATGGCAGCAAGTCTGAAATTGGTGGTAGTGATCCTTTCTGAAGTAGAACCTAAAAACCTTTCAGTACTCTCTTTCCACTTGTGGGTATCCAAGAACGTAATGACATAACTCAACAGTACCACTCTATATCAACGTTACTGAGGTACATCAAACTGTAAATTTCACATAGTCATAACTAGTTGACATATTCATGAAGAGTATTTTACCATTGGGATATTGATGACATTGTCTTCTTGTCGCTCTGTATGAGAACAGTCACTTCATTGTCATGTATGTTAACAGTCATGATGTCATTGTATGTTATACCATCATGATGTCATTGCTCTTTATGTGAACAGTCATGATGTCATTGCTCTGTATGTGAACAGTAATGATTTCTTTCAGACATGGACTGCAGTTATTGCAATAAGCACATGACTGAGATGCTAGAATCGCGATTTCACGGGGAGAAGATTGTCCTGCAGATGCATGCCAAGTACAGCGTGTTCAGCAAGAGCAGCAGAGGCTATGATGCAAGTAGGGAGGAGGTGAAGATCTTCAAGGATGAGTTCCTGAGGAAAGTCTGCAGTTTGCGGAACATGAGAGGTGGTGTCTTAATCATCCATGTTACAGAAAAATCAGTGGAAAAAGGTCCATCGCTTGATGACTTTGATCAAAAGGTTGGTGAAGAGCTGAGCAGAATGGTAGAAGATGACACAATGTATGTTGAAAACTATGATCGTCGCTGGTATATGGAGCAACAGACCTGTGTAGATAAACATGGGCAGTCGCATAATAAGACAGTTTACCTGGACTATATCATCGTGAGTGTGAAAGGATCATCATCAGTATCAACAAAAGACTTCAATACTCTTGTCACATGGGATGGAAGCAAAGAAAGACCCAAGGCCAGGGAGATCTCCAGACTGTTGTGGAAGAGTAACCTTCAGCCTTGTTTCCCGGATGAGCCAATGGATGACTGTGAGTTTGTTGAAGGTGAAAGGGTGGATCTATATGAGAGTCGAGACATTCAACTCAAGAGACTATTTGAAAAGGACCTTGTAAAGGATCTTCATGATCATCCAAGCTTGGCGGACAAGTCCCTGGCCTACAGGATTGCCTTCAGGTTGACGGAGAAGCTACATCTCTTGGAGTACTTGACCTCCTTTACCAAACTCAAGAACGGAGGCTCCTTCTTTTGTGGCATCGAAGAGGAGAAAATAGTGATGGTGATGGAAAAGAGTAAGAGTTCGAAGAAGAATAAGAAGAAGAAAAAGAAAGGACATGGTTTGAAGGCAGGGACAGAAGAGGACAAAGATGAAGTTGATTCCAGCTCTCACCTGACTGCAGCCAATGTTCCTGTCGGTGCAGTGAACACATGTGACTGTGGAAGTTCTCGTGTGGCAACTCCACATGTTTCAGACGCTGGGTTTGAAGTGATCACACACATCTCTTCTTTGCAGAGATTACATTTTGTTTCTGGAAATGAGAAAGGAGAGATAGAATTAGACAAGCACTGTACAAGATGTGATGGCGTAAAAACATCAGACACCAGGCACTCTACAGATTCAAATTTGGTACCAAATGCAACTAAGCAGAATCAAGATATTTCTATATCAGCTCAGGAATCAAATGCTCAAAGAAAACCAACTTCCACATGTACACAATCTGGAGTTTCTGCCAACTGTGACTCTTCTCAAGGAAATGGGAATCATGAAGAGGGTGTTGAAAATGCCAAAAGTGATGTGCCCTCAGTACTTGGAACAATGGGATCACCTCCTGCAGCTGCTTCTGCAGATGGGGTGGTAAGCCAGGGCTACAAAACAGGCTATAATATAGCAAAAGGCATCACTCTGATGCCAGAGGAGAGGTTAGAACTGCATGCTGAGATCATGAAGTGTGTCCAGGAAGACATGTTATGGCTGCGGAGTGATGGCAGTGTGTTAACGAGGGAGGAGATAGCAGGTGAGGTGCACATCCGATTCCACTGTACATCAGTGGTATGTCAGACTTATGTTGTGGAAGTCCGGTGCAGAAACATTTTCTCAGGGATTGTCTTTTACAAAAGCTGTGGCCCTGATGCATTCAGGCTGGCAGGGGTCTCGGAGAAGAGACCTCGGGTTATTCGAATGGATCCAAAGGAGTGGATCCTTCTGCTCAAGAAAGCCATGGAGTGCGATAACTGTGAGAGTCCTATATGGAAACTGAGAGCAGATGAAGGGTGATTGTCGGCGTGACTGTACTGCATGGAGGCTTGGAGCAGATGAAGGGTGATTGTTGGTGTGACTGTACTGCATGGGGGCTTGGAGCAGATGAAGGGTGATTGTTGGTGTGACTGTACTGCATGGAGGCTTGGAGCAGATGAAGGGTGATTGTTGGTGTGACTGTACTGCATGGAGGCTTAGAGCAGATGAAGGGTGATTGTCGGCGTGACTGTACTGCATGGAGGCTTAGAGCAGATGAAGGGTGACTGTCGGCGTGACTGTACTGCATGGAGGCTTGGAGCAGATGAAGGGTGATTGTTGGTGTGACTGTACTGCATGGAGGCTTGGAGCAGATGAAGGGTGATTGTTGGTGTGACTGTACTGCATGGAGGCTTGGAGCAGATGAAGGGTGATTGTTGGTGTGACTGTACTGCATGGAGGCTTGGAGCAGATGAAGGGTGACTGTCGGCGTGACTGTACTGCATGGAGCATTGTTATCAGGGATGGCAGTTTTCCTCCAATTCGCAGATTTCTGCCGATTTTATTTCAAATTGATCCCCATTCGATGACACAATATTACGTTTTTAGCTGAAAATAGATTTCCCTGTTGCCATCCCTGTGTTATGGAAATGGAGGGAATCTTGTGATATTTTGTTGCCTTTTAGTTTGATTTTATGACTTGACTGTGACTGCAGGTGGTTTTAGGCTGTTATATTCAGACTGAAATCTGGAGTGCTCAGAAACTGTACTTGTTTTTTAAAAGCTTTCAAAGTATTTTTAGTATTTAGATTTATAGATGGAGTTACTGACTGGTAAATGGCTGGGTTCTCATGATGTCAACATTAACAGTTTTACCAGTTAATGTAATATGAAGCTTGGTTATAGTTTTACACCTGCCATGTTGGAAGTCTCTAAACCTGCTAAAATAAATGTATACTTGTCTTGGGAATCGGAAACCAAATCCACTATCAATTATCGGAGGACTTGTGGTGAACGATTATCAATTATAATCGAAATATGTACATTTTCAATGTGATCACCAATTTTAAGGGTTTTTTGCAGGTTTTTTCTAATTAATGTTTTTTTATAACTAATACTGTCATGCAGTGACATACACACATGCAAGAACAAATATTTATGTCTCATTACGTTCATGATAGATGTAAAATTTATTCATAGACAGGTTACAGTAATATTTACTGTAGTGATGAATATGAAACTATGAATACAATGCGAATAGCTTTACGTTGTTGAGCGCATGTTTGTTCGTGAAAATTCGTCAAATTTAATGGTTAGTTACTTCATTCAAGTGTCTTATACTAATACAAAAAATTCCAATTATCGAAAATATGTGTTTTGCAATCCATAATTATTTTTAATCCTTCTTTCGATGGATTTTTTATTATTTTTCATCATTGGAACACCACTAATATATACATTCGTAAAGCTGATCTTGGTGACATTATTTGGTCAGTCTGGTTTCCTGTCTGTCAGTAACAGGTATGAAATATCATGCCATGGGTGGAGGTGCTGGACCACTGCCATGTCGTTACCTGGACATGTTGAATGTAGCTTGTAGTTTGTGTAGAGATGTTCACGAACATTTTTACACCGGATGTAATTGCCTTATATAGATTTAGTTGGAATACTTATATTCTCTAATGTTTGTTTACTGATGGAAATGCAGATAGTATGTATACATGCTTCACTGCAGTGAATGTCACCAAGATATCCTGTGATCATGTGAGGATCTCCGTAGCTCGTGACCACTCAGCTCGGTAACATCAAAGTTTATGATCTCATCACAAAGCAGCTCCCACAGCACTGAGATCCAATAAAACTGATGTGAGAGATACTGTGGCAGTGAAGTCACACCACAATGTTCATGTCGACTGGTATTACTGTTTTGTATACAGCAACATTAACCATGACCCGGTGATTTGTCTGATAGTCTCAAGACCATCTTGAAATATAGATTTGGTTGAACTGACATTCAAAACATATTAATATTCAGTTTGCTAACAATGACCTGTTGTATAACACTGTTATGTTTTGCTTTGCTCCAATGCTGTGATGGGGGAACAGACAAATGTTTTAAATATTTTGGGGGTAAACCGAGCAAGACAAGCAAAACAAAATGCAAAAATGATGATTCAGAGAAGCCAGAGAGTGAGTGTAACTGGGATAGACTCTGCCCCAAAAAGTCAAAACAAAAACCTGTTAACAATGCAAAGACATTTGTTTGAGTGTGTGAACCTGGACTGATGTTGGAAGGGAGGATAGACAGATAATTTGGGTGTGCCTTTGTGAAAATAAATAAGCTTTTTATGATTCAATTAGAACGTCACAACAATTATGTCATTTCAGTGTGTTTATTGGGTTATAATACAGAACAGGATTTCCAGTCATGTGCGCTGGCATTCAAAATGACTGCACCAATGATAAGCTGTGAGTATGAGAGTGCCACCAAGGAATAGTTTGATGCTGTGCAAAAATATGTTCTGAATAATTTTAATTATTAAGATTTTTTTACATTTTCCTTGAAATGAATTATGGTGAATATTGTTTGTGTGATTGTAGGCATGTTGTCTGGAAACAGTGAAAATATCTCTTCTGTGCCATGGCACGCAAATTAAGGACTTTCTGTCATTGGTTGCCACCAGTTCCCGTGACATCACCAACTCAGCTGGCTGTACTATTGACAATGGTGACTGTTTACAGACTGAAAATATGGAATAATTCGTGTGGATGATAAATACATTCACTTCAGTGTCTTCTATATTCAAAAGTAGCAAGACATATTGATGATAATAATGACTTTGTTTCTTACAGAGGAAGTAAAAACATGTGACAAGTAATTTTGTTTCCTTTTGACCTGGATATTGACCATTCTGACTAGATATTCGAGTTTGAAGGAACCCTGTTTGGACATGTTAGCATGAAACAGCCCGATTTAATTAATCATCAGTAAGTGAGACATGGAGTGACATGTTCTCATTGTCATGTGGTCATGATGATCATCATGCACTACTATAGGACAAGTTTGTACTTGACCAATCCTGGCATACAGCACATTGTCATATCGTGACTATATCTTGGTTGCCTACTGTATACTGCTTGATTGTACTTGACAGTTGTAAACATTTTCATCCATCTTTATGAAACGTGCTGCAAACATTAACACATCATTATAAACTATGGATTTTGACACTGAAATCACAACAGTGTGAAATCACTGAAGCTAGTTCCAGCAAATTCACAGTACAGAAATACTCAAGAACACACACAGTTGAATTTGGAACTTTACGTTTTGGTGGACATTGTATTTACAAACTGTTGTTAGATATATTTATATTTTGATAGGAGGGATCAGATAGGAGGGACCAGATAGGAGGGACGTGGCTCATAAAGGCATCTGGTGCTAAGATTGATACATGAAATTCCAGCTTAGTTGGGCAAGGGTGGTAACTGGACTGTGAAATAGAGTGAGTTAACTCCCTCGATTTGGGGAAGATACAGTCAAGGGTACTCTATGATGTGCCATGAGTATCTAATGCTCACGTTAGACTCTGAAGGACATTACACAGATTGACCAGGTTGTGTGCTGTTGTCCATGATCGCGGTGACCAGCTCCAGATAGTAGCTGAGATACAGAGCATTCTAATCCTGTCACTCCTTAACCTTGATCATGGTCTCTGGTGTACCAGCTCCAGATATTAGCTGAGATACAGAACATTCTAATCCTGTCACTCCTTAACCTTGATCATGGTCTCTGGTGTACCAGCTCCAGATATTAGCTGAGATGGTCTCTGGTGTACCAGCTCCAGATAGTAGCTGAGATACAGAACATTCTAATCCTGTCACTCCTTAACCTTGATCATGGTCTCTGGTGTACCAGCTCCAGATAGTAGCTGAGATACAGAACATTCTAATCCTGTCACTCCTTAACCTTGATCATGGTCTCTGGTGTACCAGCTCCAGATAGTAGCTGAGATACAGAACATTCTAATCCTGTCACTCCTTAACCTTGATCATGGTCTCTGGTGTACCAGCTCCAGATATTAGCTGAGATACAGAACATTCTAATCCTGTACCAGCTCCAGATATTAGCTGAGATACAGAACATTCCTAATCCTGTATTAGCTGAGATACAGAACATTCTAATCCTGTCACTCCTTAACCTTGATCGCGGTCTCTGGTGTACCAGCTCCAGATATTAGCTGAGATACAGAACATAAGATAGCTGAGATACAGAACATTCTAATCCTGTCACTCCTTAACCTTGATCGCGGTCTCTGGTGTACCAGCTCCAGAAAGTAGCTGAGATACAGAACATTCTAATCCTGTCACTCCTTAACCTTGATTGCGGTCCCTGGTGTACCAGCTCCAGATATTAGCTGAGATACAGAACATTCTAATCCTGTCACTCCTTAAGCTTTTGTTGTATATGTTTGGTTCATTTTGTGAAATCTCCCAACAGATTGCATTATTTTGTGTAATCTTCAACATTCTTTATAATCTCCAATCTTTGTATAATCTCCGTTATTTGGTTTGACATGTGTCAGAAGTGAACATGCATCTATTTGTAGATATACTCTTGTGTACAATATCATTTTTCTCACCAAAAGAACATTCCCGAAATTTTTTAAAGATTTTTTGTTGTTTTGTTGTCTTTAACAAAATGAATACACAGAAGTTTCTTAGTTTTTGCAGTTAATTTCATGTGTTGGCGACTGTTATGTTTGAAGAGCACCTGTTGGGAAAAAGTATGCTCGTAACGGGAAGAAGAGATCCGGATCATCACCTCTTTGTTAGTACACTTATTTTAAACTCCTGACTTCAATCAATGTGTCAACTTTTCCAGATCCTACTTGTGATTATTTACTAGTTAGTGACCCAGGCTTGAACTGGCAGGGTTTGCCTGGTCCAGACAGCTGTCTCTGGCATTTTGTTCAGTTACAGATACTGCACAAAGGAGAGGGAGCAACTCCTACAGTTTCTGTATTTTTCATGCCCATGCTCAGAAATACTGGCAACACACTGGTTGATGACTTGGTGTGGTTAGTGCTGGATAGACACACCCACACCCACGGCCTGGGTTCAATTCCTGACCTGTCTCGGTGTCCACTTCTGGGATGTACACAGGTCCAATGCCAAGGGTAATAATGAAAGCTTTGAGACAGCACCAAGTGTATGGAGTCCATAATTTATCGTGGAAACATTATTGCATGCATACTTTAGGTGATCTATAGGCCCGATGTACTCAACTTTCGAACACTGCTTGGAAAATTTTTTAATTGAGCAAGGTTGAAAATAGTTTTTAACCAGTATTGTATGAGAGACCAGATGGTGATGTGTTGTCCAGGATTAGGTTGAAAGGTTAGAGTACTATTTGTGTGTGGTGTTCAAGTGTGGCAGCGGTGGATATTTGTGTGTTGGGGACAGGCCAATGAAACAGAACATTCATACCTTCAGTGGGCTTGTCACCTGCAATTAGGAAGGGGAAACATCTGTTTCAGTCAAAACAAGAATTGCAGATTTAGGGCATCACTTCTGACTATCCAGGATGGCTTGGGCAGGTTCTGTGGGTTATCTGTTGAATATAGGGGGTTGGTACAAAACAAACCAGGAACTGACAAATGGACAAACTAACAATGTACGGACGTCTGAAGACCTCTCAAAGCTCCTATACATTTATGCTTTAATTTGCAGTCTACTAGTTTCTGTGGGGCTTCTATTGATAGTTTGGATTTGTGGAGTAAATACTTTAGGTAAATACTTCCGATTTTGCTACTATTTTGATGAGACTCAGACCAGACTATACTGGACTCATTGTGGAGATGGGTTTTCGGTTGTAGTCATTCTAGATCTGCACTGGTTGTTCAGATAGACATGTTCCTTGACAATATCATAGATAACAAATATGAACATAGTTAAATATTATTCAAAACAAGGTGAAGCATTTGATGAACAATTGTATTTCTTGATGGTAAGTTAAGATTTTGATTTTCAAGTGATAGTTTGTTTCCCAAAATAGTGAAAATATGTTTCCCTGTTAGTGGACAAGTGCGTTGCAGTTGTTCATGTTCTGGCAGACATCACTACACAGACATAGGGACGTCTCCGTGTGTGTTATAACATGAACTTGTTTGAGATGTGTTGTTCAAATGTGGATAAAACGTTTGTGTTTCACAGTAAACAGAATGTTTCGTATATGTTCCTGTTATAATGTTTTGCAACTGGATAATAAATATCTACATAATGTCAAGTGCAGCCACATTCCATTGATGAATTCGGAGAATAGCAGCTGGCGTTAGCTGCCAGCATCTTCCCATGAGCAAAATATTGTGCCCTTAATGCATGGGAACTATTAGTGAAGGAAAGGTTCTCTGTAAATGTACTTCATCAGTTTCAACCGACTCAGGCACTAGGTTGAACCCTCTCCCTCAAATGTATGGTCCAGGATGTAGATTGTTCTCATCAATTAAATGCTGCTCTTTCCCAGTCACGGGACTTAGACAAAAAAAGCAATTATGTTGTAAACATTCCCTCTGGTTTATGGTTGTCTTATTCCTGTCGCATTGGTTGATGTTTCTGACAATCGCATTCTATGTTTTGTATATATTGCTTGCGTTAATCTACTTTATTGAACTCTAATATTCCCGCCAAAAATAATGTCACAAGCATGTCTGCAATGTCAAAATTCATGGCCGATTTGGATCATCATTTTCTATGTGCCTCCTGCCTCACGGGTCCTCCCTGCTCTTTTTATAACCGATTTTCATTGTGTTAAGAACTTTCTAAGATGATTGGATTAAATGGACAATACGGCATTATTTTCATCCCACAAGGATGACATTCTATGATTTGCAAATTCGATCAGAAACGAGGCAGTTTGATCAGGCTATTGATAGGCTGTCGGCCGTGAGCCATACAAACTCAAGAGACAACGCTCCAGACCAAGGTCTAGAGTCTATATCCGTAGGTCGGTGCTCTACTCGGGAAAGCCGATTATCACCCACGAACTGAAGCTGATGAGCAATCCCCATGGCGGGAGAAGCTGAAGGTTTCGAGTGGGAGGGACTATGTCGACGTTCCAGGATGTTGACATGGTAGCACTGACCTTTCATATCAAATCACACAAACTAAACCCTTATACCCTTACACTAATGGCACTTACACCTCCAAAGTCACACCTTCAATGAGGCAGGTAATGTGATCAATAGAGAATACTACACGAGGTCTCATTACATACGATAATACGAAACGAGTGTTCTTCCTAGCCGAGCGAAAGCGAGCATGATGTGACGTACGAGATTAGTATGCAACTACCCATACGTTGACCACGTGGGTAATAAACACTAATACTACATAAGAAATCCTGTCTTAGTCTAGACCGCCTCCGTGCTGTAGTGGTTAGAGCCTCCGCCCGGAGCGTCACGCCAAAGACCCGGGTTCGATTCCCCACATGGGCACAATGTGTTAAGCCCATTTCTGGTGTCCCCCGCCGTGATATTGTTGGAATATTGCGAAAAGCGGCGTAAAACTAAACTCAGTCAGTCAGTCAGGCAGTCCGCCCGGAGAGCGGAAGGTCGCGGGTTCGATCCCCGACTGCGTCATACCAAAAAACGTTAAAATATGGTACTTGTTGGTCCCTGCCTGGCGCTCGGCATTAATGGGTACAACGCGGACTGGTCGGCTCGGAGTCAGTATAATGTGTCTGAATGGGGTATTCATGCTTCACTGCGGCATGGTATCTCAGTGGGCTAGCACTCTAAAACCAACTTAAGTCTGGGCTAGTACAAGCAGCCGCACATACACATACACACGCATGCACGTCGTCATATGGGCGAAATATTCTCAAGCACGACGTTAAACCCAATTTCACTTCACCTCCAGTCTTAGTCTACCTCCTGGTTCCACGCTGGTGACCAACGCGATGCACGTTATTGGCGTCAAGTGTGTCAGTATGAGTCAGTATAATGTGTCTGAGTGGGGTATTCATGCTTCACTGCGGCATAGTATCTCAGTGGGCTAGCGTCATATGAGCGAAATATTCTCAAGCACGACGTTAAACCCAATTTCACCTCACCTCCAGTCTTAGTCTACCTCCTGGTTCCACGCTGGTGACCAACGCGATGCACGTTATTGGCGTCAAGTGTGTCCCTTTCGTGGTGGGGGTTTGCACTGTAGGTAAGTCAGTATCTTAGATAACTGGATGCATATCCTTTATGCATGCATACTTTAGGTGATCTATA